CAAGTAATATTCGCATCCGAACACATCTACCCGCCATAGACTGGGAAGCAAAGCATCGGATCGAGATTCTTGCAGACATGCGTAACTCAGCCCTACGACCGCTATACGAATCGTCCCCCGATGGACTCGCTCCGGATGGAGTACCATGGACGGGTATCGTATTCTACAACGACGTCTACTTGTCTGCTATACACGTCCTGGAATTGATGCATCAACAACTTCAGCAGGACGCAGATATGACGTGCGGTTGGGATCATGCCGGACGATGGTTTTATGATGGTTGGGTTGGGAGAGATATGAGTGGGGATTTGTACACTCCTTTCCCCGTCAAGGAAGAAGCGAAAGATCTACCTCAAGTGGTATGTTCTCCCTTTTCCTCCCAATCTTATCTCATGTCCCTCATGATTCCTCATAATCTGTTTCCCGTGATGATCGCTCATGGAGGACAGTTATTCCCATCACATCCTCCTACGAAAAGACGATACGATAAAAACCTCCCTTTCCAAGTGTTCGCAGGTTGGAATGGTATAGCAGTCATAAATCCTCGTCCATTCTTCCCACCCTTCAACGTCCGTTTCCGACGAGGAGCGGCCGCAACCGATGGTCGTACTGCCGCCGATAACGAATGTCAAATGTCTGAAAGCAGTTTTATAAGTTGGGACTTTTGGAAATATGGCTTTAGTAGGATTCAAGTCATTCCCGGTGTTCACGCTTGTTATGGGAAAGAAGACGCTCAGATGAGAGGCTGGGTCGAATGGCCTATGCCTGATTCCGATGATCAAGAACTCATTTGGTGGAATGAAATGTGAGTCTCCCTCATTGGTCGACCTTTCTTGCTGCGTCGAACGGAGGCAAGATTCAAAGCCGTAAAGGCTGACGTTGGATTTAGACCGCCGCAAAAAGTTAGATGTCACGACTGGCCTGATAAACCGGGTAAAGGATGGTGGGCTTGGGATACGGTCAGATGGGTCAATCCTCCAGATCTGGAGGAACTGTAGTGTGTCCCCGGTGAAAAATTCGCGTGGAGCCGCAGACGAAGAGTTGAGCGGGCGACTTGCATGGGGAGGAGTTACATGTTTGCAATGCACTCTATCGTATAACAAACAGCAATGAGCACTCAACTTTTTATTTATTGCGATACATCGGTCCATGAAACACATTATGGCGAAGGCCAGAACGATTGGTCTCAGCGACACTTTTCGAGCGAACAGAGGTGGAACTGATGTGCAGGTCGGGACGTACAATCAACGAACAAACCATGATGCTGAAAAACTAAGCTCAGTGTCCCATCCTCTCTGCCCAATTTGTGCCACTATATTAGTAACTCATATGATAAGAGTTCTATCTCGCGTAGTATACCGGCTAGTATACTCCGCTTTCACATTACAAGCTGACCCGGAGAGAACCGGGTTCGATTCCCGGCGCGAGAATGTCTTTTTTTTGGTTCCAATTCAATTCCGCATTTCATATTTTGTTATGTGTTTTAGGATTGTTTTCGTCTCAGGAGCAATCCTGATTTGTTAAGAGCAAGATCATAGAGTGTCAGGCAGGTTCCCGTCAGTTTTGCTGCAATCCTTTCTTTGACCGCTTCAGGCTCTGAGGTGTCCGGATTTGGGTCCTTTAACTTTTAAGCCCGCAAGTTGAACGACTGTCTAACCACAGACTTTGAACCTTGCTTTTACGCCATGTCAATACTCGCTTGTCCTTTCATCCAACCTAACAGTTGCTGTAGGAAACAGCCATGTCCTGGTACGTGGATCAATGGGTTGAACAGGTTCCCTTGATAGTCGAGCCTGACATCCACAACCGCGACAGTATGGTCTCTAATGATACCACTGATATTTATCCATCGACCAGGTCCAGCTTCACCACCTCGGCCTTGGGATTGAGTGTCTCATCAAAGCTGGCTCCTACAAATAATACTCGGAGTCTACGCACCATCGAATCGCCCTCTATTGTTTTCGATCACGGTAGACAGAAGCATCAGGGCGCACCTCAGCCTCCGCTGGGTATTGTGGCCCAGAGAGCCGCTCAACTTCTCGAGCATGTTGAACAATCCAGCTTATCCCCAGGACCAACATCAAGGCATCATCAGTCCGCCTCCAGTCTCGATAAAACTTCAAAGTCTGCTGCAACGAAGGTTGCTGTCGTTCCCACCTCCACTGTCATCCAGGAGATTCGACAGAGTGCAGCTCCCCGCCTGTCGTCGCAATCGATACAGTGTTCTCCCACCAATCGTCCCGCACCGGCGGCAAAGCGCAGGGCTAGCCGAACAAATTCAATCCAACAACCAAATGCTCCGCAAACAAGACAAGCCGAATCCACGGATACGATGACGGAGGACTGGGAAGCCGAGCTCGTTCGCGAGGCCGAAAAACTCAAACTTGAACCGCCAAACGGCCTCACACCGGAACCCAGTACAGATCAACGCCCAGGGCACCAAGAAAAGCGACAAGAGAATGGCCAGTGGGAGAAAGAGGGAATGTGGGAAGCAAGGAGAGAGGTAGCGCGCGAGGCAGAGGACAAGACAAGGCGCGAAGCAGGGAGAGAGATCGGTGAGTCTAACCAAAGGCCTTGCTCACAAATAGCATACCCACCTGCCGCCCCCCGGCGTCCAATACGCGCCGCTGCCAATGGTGTAACATCGGTGCATGTCGGTGTGCGACCTAGACTACATCCAGCCCTGTCGGATGCCTCGCTTCGAAGAAACCAGCCTGATGAGCATTTGAGTACTCCAGTTTCGCCTCCGCTTGAGACCTCGCAAGCCGCAATTCTCCCGGGAAATGTCAACGCCAGCGATAACCAGTTTTATGTCTCTGAACACGCCGAACAAGCCAAACTCGAATATGAAGCTTGGCTACGGAAAAAGCCGGAAAGGGAAGGTGGTATTCGGCCGGATGACGAGGATCATGGATCAAGGCAATGGACTCCAAAGAGCCGAGCGGTAGCCCGACCTGGACAGATCAGAGATATAGCTCCTGTTAGAGTTTGGGGGGACGAGGGCCTGACTCCACAAGTCGTCCCCGTTACTCCGCGCAACGGTTGGGAGCAGTACGGATATCCATTTGATTACACACAGCCTAATGCGCAACATGGACCAGGTGGATACATGTACATGGACCCGAATCTGTACGGCCAGGGTTACTGGGATCCCAGATACTGGACCGTGTTTGGTGATCATCAGGAAGAGAGTCAGCAGACAGAATTGTAAGTCAACCATCGGCTAGGCTGATCTTCAAGTGGCAAAGGACGTACTACGGCATCTTGGGAGCAGGGACAAGAAAACCAAGCTTCGGACAGCGATGGTAATGACATTTCTGAGCAAGACTATTCGGAGTGAGTGATGTGCTTTCACTGCCTCCTTTGTCCGCAACATCCTTTCAACTCTTTCCTCCGCATTCGATCATTGCCCTTTGAGGAGAGGAGAATCGAATAGGTCGAGAATATGTATCGGGACACATACGCGTATCTGCCCCATTCACGTCCATTGTCTTTCCTAACCATGTTTGGCACCTCATTTCCCACTCACTCTGGAGTCTACCAGCAACCGTGGGCTAGCACGCCGTATGGCGGCATTGGTTTTGGTCTCAGAGGTTCCTATTCCGGTATTGATGGTACTGGTCCAAATGGCCTGTCGAACGGTGCTCTGAGGGCGTCATTGGGCATATTTGGCAGAACTAGCGGTCTGAATGGCAAGGAGGCCATGGGCATACGGGGCATTGCTGGCGGCGTGCATCCGAGTTTGGGCACACTTTCGTCATTCATGGGGTTCGTCGAAAATCCATGCTCCTTTTTCTTGCCTCTCCAGGATCTCCATTCATGCCTTTCCAGTGAAAAGACACCAATGAGGCCTTCATCTTCTCAACCTGCTTACTGTCCGTGCGTGTTCAGCGCTAACGTCACGATCCCCCCCTCTCTGCGTCGCGAACAGCGATCTCAACCACTACAGCAGCACCAACATGTACAATCCCTACCAGCAGTGGCCTATGATGGGCGTCCAAGGTCCGATCAATCCTTACATGGGAATGTTCAGTGGCGATGGAAAGTCCATGACATCGCCACCACAGCAATCACCAATGTCAAGCGGGCAGACACCGACCGACAATCTCAAAGCGTACGACTCGACCAAGGCCAAGCAGGGACGCTTGGGGTACTATGGTTTTCTGGAAGGACGAGGCGAGTAAAGATTGCGGCAAAGCTGACGTGCAGAACTTGCAGGCCCACCTCCAGGCTATCTGCCGGCAGGCGTGCCACAGGCTCAGATTCCTCTAGGCTATCCACCTGCGGGCGTTCCACAACCCCAGGCTTCCGAGATCGGCGGCTCGTTCTCCCCCGGTGTAGCGTGGAATCAGACTCGCTATCAGCCTTCTCAGGGTGGCAACTATCCTGACGCAGCCCCCCCCAAATCGTCCTGGGGTGGCGCATCGGCGACGGCGGTGCGGGCAAGATACGATGGCGGTTAGTGTCTCTTCTTCTGCCAGATCGGTGACTGATCGAGCCACGGTGCTCCCTCAATAGCTTCTCAAAATTCCAAGGTGGTTCAGGCAGACTTGGACACTCCTTATCCGAGAGTGAATACGGCATCAGTTGGAGCACAACATGGCGCAGAGCGTGGTACCTTCAATGGAGTTGATGATAGGACGGGTACCAATCACCGCAGGAGGCGCGAGGGAAAGGTGTAATACATTATCATGTACAAGCGAAATTATCAATGGCGATGTCTAGGGCTCGGAGTCCAGCTCATGCTTTCTAAACTACGACGGTTCAAGCCTCCTTTGCTCCCTGAGCTCCAAGCGGAGCCTCTTTCCATTGCTGCTCCTCTGTTCCTGCTACCTGTGCTGCCCGGCTTGTTCGTCCCATGCTGCGGTGTACGGCCCATACTACGCTCCAGAAGCCTCTTAGCCGCGGGAGTCAATGCATCTGCCTGACGGCGTGGCGTGCTTGAAGGTGGCAACATCTTACCTGGGGTAGTATTGCCTCGGAGGGACTGTTGCGTCTTTTTCGCTGCCAAGCCAAGCGCGCTGCGTGTTGATGAAAGCGGCGCAAAGCTCTTGGCACGTTCATTCATTGATCGGCTTGCCTTGTCGGCCAGTTTCCTACCCAGCTCATCTCGTCGCTGTGTTGCAGGCAACCGGAAGGATGAGGCATTCGTGTCTAGAGGATCGTCGACGCCTTCTATAGCGCGTGGCGTGGCAAGCAAAGTGCCCCATGTGAGCAGCGAAGGCAGCTCTTGAGGAGAGGGGGATGGATCGTTCGGTAAAAGCGCGTAGTCGTTGACACTGGGCAAGGCGTTTCCTCCCGGTCGATCTGCAGATCGTTAGCCCTGTCGAAAATCTGCACTTACAAGGAGTTCCTTTCACCGCAGCGTCTACCCAGCTTCTCGCCGGGCTACTACCTCGTCTGCTCTCCTTGCTGTACAAAGGCTCGGATTCATCCTCGTCCGGCAATCGTGTGTTTGAATGCTTGATTTCTCGTGCTGCCTGCCTAGTGGCCACAGACACACTTTTGCGGTGGTCTGGGTATGACTTGGTGTTGGCATCGGCTGGGAACATCAAGTTGTTCATGGTCTAGTTTGTTAGCAGTGCATTTCGTATTCGCCTACCTTGTAGCCCCACTGGTCTGCTCCGCTACCGCCAAGGGAGACGACCTCCTTCTCCTCATTCCCCATGACCGACCGCTCCGTCAAATCGCGAATGACACGATCATTCTCGCCTCGTCCGCGTCCTTCCCCGGCGCCACTCGTGACTTCGCGATGAGGAACAATTGCGCGATCGCCCAACGATATTAAGGCTGTGGTAGGCAAACCAGCTGATGCCAGAGCTCGGTTCAATGGATGGTCTGAAGGGATTGGCCGCTCAGCCAAAGCTGTAGCTTGAGAAGCAGCAGCGTCCGTTGCGGTTATGACGGCGGTGGAAGATTGACTGGAATCTGCTTCAAGGGGTTCTGCATCCGCGGCGATCAATCTTTGAGGCTCTTTCCAAGCCTCCCCTTCTGGCCTGTCCGCTCCGCCCTCCATAAGAGACCCGACTAGCCTTCGACCATTCCCGTCTATCCGCCAGGTGCCGTTTGTTGCCGCATCGAGAATCATTTTGCGTTTTTCTTCCCCCTCGAGCCGTCTCAGCTCCGCCTTCTTCTCAGCTTCCCACGCCCAGCTCCATCTTTCTTCCTTTCGGCGCCGGTTCTCCTCATCCACAATCTGAACGAATGAAGCGTTGTCTTCGGATGTGTAATTCGCTTGAAAGGTGTCAAGCGAGAGGTCATCACGGACCTGGCGAGTTTCGAAGATCTTCCGTTTCTTCCCGGGTAGGGAATCAGCATAACTATCCAAGTCGTCGAGGTCGTCGTTAACCCGACGTCGAGTGGATCCCTCTCCCGGTCCCATCAGAGGGGTATCCCAGCCTCTGGCGCCGACCGGTGTACGCAAGGGCTG